ATATTCAAGGAAATAGTTTCTGGGATAGGTATAGACAAAACATTACAGTTGAGAATTATCAGTTGTACAGATTGCAGAGTAACAAATTAAAGAATACAATAGCTGAAGCAAAAATATTTTATGAACTTATGAACATGGAATAATACAATCAAAGTCAAACAAACAATTCTGCAAGTATGTGAGAGAGGCGCAAAGAACGCTGAGCAATGACTATAACGTCCATGTTACCAAGCTGAGATGCCCCAGACTGAAAATAGTTGATGTCACACCGGAAATATCACTAGACAATACATATTGAGGATGACCTCAGAAGACAAAATTCTTATATTTTGGATAGTGATTACCTTAAGGTAGTCTTTGTGAGGAATCATAGGAACAAAAACACTAAAACTATATTTTTGGAGTGTTCTCCCGAACTTTTCCATAAATGCGTCCGAAAAGGAAGGGTTTATTTGCAGTGACAAAACTGCAGAATTTTCGAGGATATTACTGTCCCAAGATGTTATAAATGTCAGGGCTACAACCACAAACGTACTGATTGTAAAAACTTTTCGGTATGTGGCTACTGTATGGATGGTCATGAAACAGAACAGTGTAGTAAACATTTTAAAAGGTGTGCAAACTGTTCTTCTGCCAATTCTAAATTTAAAAAAAATTATGATGCCGCTCATGAAGTCAATGATCCTGCATGTCCTTCCTACAAATACATGCTAGATGTTGTACGGAGCAAAATAGATTATGGAAAGCAATAAATGGCTGCAAATATGGAAGATCTTCTCGAGAGTATAGAAAACATGGAGGAAGCTGCAGACATTGCACGGGGATGTGTGTCAAGTAACATTCTTAAATCTAAAATCAATATTCTTGGAAAGATTCTGAATCTAGTGCACATAAATATCAGAAGTGTGAAAAAGAATTTTGACTCTTTGTTGGTGTCATTGGAGGCTTATGGTCTCGACTACTGTGATATTATTGTACTGAGTGAAACCTTCCAACTTTCTGGTTGTGAGGTCGAGCAGTTCAATTTGCCTGGTTACTCTGTCCATTACAACAATGCAAGTACAAATAAAAATTATGGTATGCTAATATATACAAAAGATCATTTGAATGTGCACATTACAGATGTCTTGCTTCCTGTATTTCATGTCACCCAGGATTAAATTCAAAGTGGAAAATGTTAGTGTTGGTGTAACTTGCCTGTACAGGGTGCTGCAATTCGGAGTGTTTTAACAGGAAAAACACACTTCCAGACCAGATAGAGGAAAATTGACTTAGATGTCATGGGATCGATTTTCGAGAAATGTCGATTGTCAAAAACCGTATCGCGATATCTTCCATGGTACAATTAATTCAGGGTTATTTTCGATTTTCCCCTATTATGAAAAATGGCTATAAGTTTTTTATGTATCAATTTTTTATATATATTAACTGTATGATAATGCTCGATATTGGGGGTTCCATCAGTTCATATGCAGACGACACTGTCTTGGTTTTCTCGGACGAAGACTGGGACTCTGTTAGAGATATGGTGGTTGAGGGCCTTTCTAATGTCAGAAATTGGCTGGATTATCATAAACTTTCTTTAAATTTAGATAAAACACATATAGTATTCTCTTCAACTAATGTTAATCGTCCTAATTTCTCTAGCATCGACATAAATGGAATGGATACATCGATAAAAGAGGTTTCTAATACGAAATATTTGGGAATAATTATTGATTGTCACCTTAAATGGGAACATCATGTTTTTAGATTGAAAAACAATCTTAGGAAACTTATTTACAAGTTCTATATTTTGCGTGAAATAATGTCAAAACACAGCTTTTAACTATGATCTATAAAGCACTGGTGGAGTCATTAATCAGATATGGAATTGTGATATGTGGCGGGGTTTATAGTTCTGCCCTGTCCCAGCTCAATGTTACTCATATTCTTAAGGTTATGAATAAAAAAGAAAAACGATATTCAACTAGTCTTCTGTATAATGAAAATATTTTTAATGTTAGATCCTTGTATGTGTTTTCTGTATGCTCTTATGTCCACAAAGGAGAGAACCTGAAGAAATATTTTGACCATTGCCATGCGACAAGGAGTAGAACACTGGGCAAACTGCAGATTCCAAGTTGTCATAAAAATATCAACCAAAGATTTATCAGTTATTTGGGTCCAAAATTCTACAATCTGTTGCCTGAGAATGTTAGAAGGCTGAAAAACATGAAAATATTTAGCATAGCCTGTAAAAACTTTATTATATTTATATTATATATTTATATTATATATTTATTATATAAGAACAACAAACAATTTATAAAACTACTATAAACTTGTAAAGACCTATTGGTTTCACAATAAGGTCCTTACTTGTATGCACATAGATATTAATTGTACATAACATTTGGGTTTGGGTTCTATCAGCACATACAGCTGTTAAATCAGCTAGATGCTATTATTTGTGTATTTTGACTATAATTTATGTACTATGTTCTCTAAATAATGATCAAATGTTGTTAAATTACTATTATATTATTATTAAATAAATAAATAAATAAATAAATATAAATAAATAAATTATTCAACTGACCTGTGAATGCTCCTTTTGACACACAAACTAATCACAAATTGGATTGAATAATCAGTTTAATACAAAATAAAAATAAAAATTGAATAATGAACAATGGCAGACAAGCGTCTTAAGGGACCAGGCAGACAAGCGTCTTAAGGGACCAGCTCAGCTTCTTCTCTAGTCTTCCATTCTCTTCTCTACCCTTCGGTACCTACGCTTTTTCGTGGCGGCGCGGCGTCCTCGTTCTCCCCTGATATGGGGGCCAACTTTACGGCGCATTACATTGGTGCAAAATTTACTTTTATTCAGTAAACCTTTTTTTTTAAGTTAAGATTTGAAGAAATAATATTTTAAATTGGTGGTTTTCCTCAAACCATATGTAGGATTTAAGCCTTGTAGATCATTCAATTCTAATTTAGAATCAAAATTGTAGCATTATAAGTGTTGTTAGGCTTTGTCGGCTGATCAAAATTTTGACCAACTCTTTCGATTGGTGGTCAGAAACTAGGAAATTTCATAATATAATGCACATTCTGGCACCAGGTATCCTTGGATCGGAAGTGGAAAATTTACAGTCAATTTTCATAAAATCGTCTCAATTAGTATCGTCCCTTGCCTTACTTCATTTATGCATAGGAAACACTGGAAATATTATCTAGCTTTTAAGAATGAAGGGAGGGAGGGAAGTTTTGTCAAATTCTATTGTTTATGAAAAAGAGAGACTACAGAGAGGCTGGCCAGTTGGTTTTAACCAGTGCCATATAGCTTACCCACATCACACAAACACTATAAATATTAAAATAGAAATGTTTACAAGAGGTAAGTATATGTACGCAAGGAAATTCGATTTTGAGAAAGCTACATTTTGGAAACGGAAAAACTATCAAATCAGCCTAATTTTACATCTGGACCATAGCATATATAAAAACAGTCAGCAGGCTAACTCGAGTGATAGCCCGTGTAATAAAGGAATTCATGGTCGGAACGTCACTGGCGGCCATTTTGGGATACAGAACAGGGTCTGATTAACAATAATTTAGGATTTTTCTTTCGTGTCACATAGTCGTATTAGCTTTAAATAAATTACTGTTACATGACGTTTGAAAATAAACTAATTTATTATTATTTTTAAATAATAGTATTTATAATTACTAATTTATTATTTTTAATAAATACACAAGAATTATAACACCATAAATGACTACACGAATACACTCTAAAATCACTGCTAAAATTTCGCTCTACACCGCACGCCTATGACCTCCGCAAGAACAAAACAAATAAAACAAAATTTACCGGATCGGCTGGCACCCCTGCCGTTTAATGACAGGATAGTATCCCCTAACGGTGGCGTGCGCAGAAAAGATGCGCGTGGGAGTTAGCCTGCTAATTGTTTTTGTATATGCTGTGTCTGGACTAAGACTTGAAAAAGGTAATTTGTAAAGTGTCATTTTGGGAGATTGAAGGAAAGCTGTGATATGTAAGGAGAGCTGTGATATGTAAAAGAAACGAAAAATTTGTGAAACGTCTACTTCATTATTAAAGTAAATCGTACCGTTCTCGACCTGGAATTCTCGAAGGGAAAGAGAACAGCAGAGAAACCCTCGATCCAACATTCCTCAAAAATCAAAACATACTGTGTCATTTTTATGATAATTGTGAGTCAATAATGAATAATCAATAATTTAAGTCAATGATTCAATAAAAGTTTAAATAAGGTACCATCCTTTATTTTTGTGCTAAAATTTTAATTCCACACACAACATTACCTATATTCAATACTGAAGAGTTTTTCGTTATAGTTAGCCGATCTTCCAGCAGGTACTGAGGTCCCATACGGGATGCTACCCAGCTATAGTTGTTATTTTGAGCCAATATCTCTTTCCTTTTGTTCGGTAGGATAAATACTTGTAAGGGTATCGTTAATTTTAGAGAAAAACCGATCTCACGTTCTCATCTTAGATTTTCATAAAGTATCATTTGAGACCAACTTTGAATTTAACCGGAGATTAAATTCAATTAGAATTTTCAATCATGGATTAAATTCAAACTTGGTACAAGAGTTGTATAAACGTTGGGCCCTTTTTGGTTGTAAGGATCATAATTGTTTTATATAACGTTATAAAAATTTCAGTAGGTACCTTTCCTATAAGATTATCTTACAGCTGTTTATACAAACCTTATAGAATTTAATTTGCTACTTGGGTAGGTGCGATAAATAATTAGCTACTGTAGATTGTCTACCAACTGTGGACCAAAACAAAATTGACTTTTTAACCAACCCAGGGATTATTTTTTGGCCTTGGACTGTTTTTTGAGCCTTCAGTAATTTGAAATCCCTAATTTTACAGATGACAAACAATTTTTCAAGCATTCGAATGCAATTTCAAAGATAAAAACGATTGGAGAATAAAATTATTATCACAAGTAAAATTTGCTGACGTAGAAATCTCAAGTGGCCTGTCCTCAATGTTAGTATTTCATATAAATACTGGTCCAGAACGTATAGGAAGTCAGTGTTCTTCATTTGTAAGAACGAAAAACAAATCCAATTTCATCATGAAAGTTCTCTTTTTGGCTAGTTTGCTGGTAGTTGCCGCCAGTGCCTCCCTGTTGCAGGAGCACGCGGTAAAATTCCAAGCATTCAAAGTAAGAATTTAGAATTTTTCGATGACATTAATATAAGTTTTTTTTTTTAATTTTAAGATGGTCCATGGTAAAAGCTACCTGAACCAAGTAGAAGAAGCCAAACGTTTCTCCATCTTCAGAGACAACCTCCGCGCAATTGAAGAACACAACGCTCTCTACGAACAAGGACTTGTCTCTTACAAACAAAGTAAGATTTGATTTAAATCGTTTCAAACAAATTAATTTGACCCTCCTTTTGCAGAAATTACCAAATTCACCGATAAAACCCAAGAAGAATTTAAAGCTTATTTGAGTCTTCACAAAAAACCTACTCTATTGAAGACCACCAAGTACATCAAAACTGGAGTTGCTGTACCTGAGTCAGTAGATTGGAGAGCACAAGGACAAGTTACTGGAGTTAAGGATCAAGCAGATTGCGGATCTTGCTGGGCATTCTCCCTTGTAAGTACCTACTTATGTAATAAAAATTTCAATAATTGCTTGATTATTTCTTCCAAATTTGCTTCTTAGCCTCTGCCATTGGTTTTTAAACTTTCTACTTTAATTGTCTTTCCAAAAATCAGCTTGTTTTTTCAACATTATCTGTTGATAATCGTCTTTAATTGATTTTTCATGATTAATTTTCTGAATTTTTATTCCAATTAGACTGGTTCAACTGAAGGTGCCCACTACCGTAAAACTGGAAAATTGGTCGCTCTTTCTGAACAACAATTGATTGACTGCACCACTGACCTCAACTACGGTTGTGAGGGTGGATATTTGGATCAAAGTTTCCCTTACGTCGAAGAGAAAGGCCTTCAATCTGAAGAAAGCTACCCTTACGAAGCTGAAGATGGTACTTGCAGATACAACGCGTCCGCAGTCGTCACTAAAACTACGAGCCACGTTTCTATCGAAGCAGAAGATGAAAGTGCTCTTTTAGAAGTAGTAGCTACAATCGGTCCAGTTTCCGTTGCTATCAATGCCGATTACATCACTTACTATGCCTCTGGCGTATTCGAAGACGAGAGATGCACAGCTGACGGACTCGACCACGGTGTGCTTGTTGTAGGATATGGAACAGAAAATGGAAAAGATTATTGGATTGTCAAGAATTCTTGGGGTGCTGAATGGGGTGACGAAGGTTACTTCAAATTGGCACGTGGAACAAACGAGTGTGGTATTGCCGAAGACACTGTTTATCCAGTTATTGCCTAAGAATATATATACTATGTATAGCTATACTTATGTATAGCTAATTATTAAACGATTAAAAAACTTTATTCTATTTATCTGTTTTATTTTTCTAAGGCGCCTTGCAGTAAGCTTTGTTCGATTTTGTTATCTTCGTGATCGTTTCACTGTCTTATTAATATGCGATTACAAAAGCCTTGCAAATTCTCTAGAAACTTCGCTACTCTGGTAACGACGATCGGCTCTTGGACATCTCTATGATCGTGTAACCTGTAGTATAACATACCCGGGTTCGTTCAGCAAGATTGAACGGTGTGAATTTTTATGACCTTTTAAACAACAAATCTTCTGAAAAACGAAATGAAAAACAAATAGGATCTACGTTGTGAAAACTTACTGTGTCATTTTAATTATAATTGTGAGTCAATAATCAATGATCAATAATTTAAGTCAATGATTCAATAATTCAATAACAGTTTAAATTAGGTACCTACCATCCTTTGTCTTTGTGCTAAAATTTTAATTCCGCACACATTCAATCAACACTACCTATATTCAATACTGGAGAGTTTTTTGGTTAGTTAGCCAGTTTCACCAGCAGGTACTGAGGTCCCATACGGGAAGCTACTCACTATGGTTGTTTTTGAGCCAATATTTCAGATTGATTATTTTAATTTGTTTGCTAGGATATTCGCTCGTTAGGGTAGGAAAATGTTAGTAAATTCAACATAGCCCTAATGCACGCTCTGAATCCCAAAAATCAAAATCCCAGCACAAAAGACAGCACTTAATATCTTTGGTTTTAATTTACCCTTTATCTGTGTTGTTTACAGCATGAAACGATTTTTGTTAAATACATGAACAATGCACATGGTATAAAAATTGTTATAAAGAATTAAAAAAAAAAAACATAAAAATGAAAAAATTTAAAAAATAAATAATATGTACTTGTATAAATTGAACTCTCGAAAACAAAATGACAATTTGGTTCCTATGGTCTGGCAACCATGTTGGATGTATCCTCTACGTCATTCGCAAAAGTCTCAGAATTTGTTGAAATAATGTGCAATTAAATCGAAAAAAGTAGTGTTGTGTTTCTGATTAACAGGTTAGTAAACCCATTTATCAAAATTCAGTGTGAAAAGTTACTCGAACCGCCACAAAAAGACTTTGTTTACGTTCATTTCGGTGTGCTGAGTGTAGGAATGTGGTGCAACGTTGCCAAATTTTGGTATTGATTACTATTGATTTTCCTTGGGATTTTGTTCTATCCTTGCCTTAGTTCTACCGATATGGATGGTAATGAGGAATTTACGGATGTTTGTTTGAAATGCAGAGAGGTTATCGAAGGTCAGGAAATTTTTGAATGTGACTCCTGTTTGAGCAAGATTCATAAAACATGTGCTGGTTTAACATTGTCAGAGCTCCGAGTGATGCCACTTCAGAAACGATTTTTGATGTTTGTCTGTGACTCATGCAGACTAATTTTGAGGAGAATGCCGATGATTATTAGCATGATTGAAGATTTGAAGAAGGATTTCTCAACTTTTAAAAATAAATTTGAATCATAAACGAGCCCTGTGAATTTTATTCAAAATAAAGTTACATATGCTGATAAGGTCTCTGGTGAAGTCAACAAAATCAAGAATATCCCCAGCTTAATTCTAAAGCCTAAAAAAAACAAAACTCACAAAAAACCAGGGAAGACTTACACAAAAATATAGAGCTGCCGGCGCTTAATGTTGGAGTGAGAAGTACTAACGCCCAATTTCATAATCAACAAGTAAACTTTAAATTTAAAGCTCCATTTGAAGTTGAAAAATCCTATCCTAAAAGTCTATTTAGCTAAAGTAACTTTTAATTTTTTATTATGAAATTGGCCGTAAGGAGAATAATGATGGTGGAATGGTCATAAAATGTGTGACTAAGGAAGAAGTCACTTTGACCAAATATGAAAACTGTGAAAACATCATCAAAACAACCAGTGATGAATTCATACTACTAAAATCGACAAGAAAAAACCCCCAGAAACAATGGATAACAAGGCCATATTCAAGGAAATAGTTTCTGGGATAGGTATAGACAAAACATTACAGTTGAGAATTATCAGTTGTACAGATTGCAGAGTAACAAATTAAAGAATACAATAGCTGAAGCAAAAATATTTTATGAACTTATGAACATGGAATAATACAATCAAAGTCAAACAAACAATTCTGCAAGTATGTGAGAGAGGCGCAAAGAACGCTGAGCAATGACTATAACGTCCATGTTACCAAGCTGAGATGCCCCAGACTGAAAATAGTTGATGTCACACCGGAAATATCACTAGACAATACATATTGAGGATGACCTCAGAAGACAAAATTCTTATATTTTGGATAGTGATTACCTTAAGGTAGTCTTTGTGAGGAATCATAGGAACAAAAACACTAAAACTATATTTTTGGAGTGTTCTCCCGAACTTTTCCATAAATGCGTCCGGAAAGGAAGGGTTTATTTGCAGTGACAAAACTGCAGAATTTTCGAGGATATTACTGTCCCAAGATGTTATAAATGTCAGGGCTACAACCACAAACGTACTGATTGTAAAAATTTTTCGGTATGTGGCTACTGTATGGATGGTCATGAAACAGAACAGTGTAGTAAACATTTTAAAAGGTGTGCAAACTGTACTTCTGCCAATTCTAAATAAAAAAAAAATTATGATGCCGCTCATGAAGTCAATGATCCTGCATGTCCTTCCTACAAATACATGCTAGATGTTGTACGGAGCAAAATAGATTATGGAAAGCAATAAATGGCTGCAAATATGGAAGATCTTCTCGAGAGTTTAGAAAACATGGAGGAAGCTGCAGACATTGCACGGGGATGTGTGTCAAGTAACATTCTTAAATCTAAAATCAATATTCTTGGAAAAATTCTGAATCTAGTGCACATAAATATCAGAAGTGTGAAAAAGAATTTTGACTCTTTGTTGCTGTCATTGGAGGCTTATGGTCTCGACTACTGTGATATTATTGTACTGAGTGAAACCTTCCAACTTTCTGGTTGTGAGGTCGAGCAGTTCAATTTGCCTGGTTACTCTGTCCATTACAACAATGCAAGTACAAATAAAAATTATGGTATGCTAATATATACAAAAGATCATTTGAATGTGCACATTACAGATGTCTTGCTTCCTGTATCTCATGTCACCCAGGATTAAATTCAAAGTGGAAAATGTTAGTGTTGGTGTAACTTGCCTGTACAGACCTCCCTCAACAAGAAAAATTATTTTGTCAGCGACTTGGAAAACTACTTCACCGACAATCTTACAAACCAGATTGAGATTTTTACGGATGATATTAATATTGATATTTCTGACTGTGATGATGAGAGTGTTAATGGTTATCTGTCAACCCTTGGCAACCTTGGTTTCTTCTCGTTTATCAATTGTCCTACCAGAGTCACATCAACAACAGCTACCTGTATTGACCATATTTTTGTTCGTAAGAAAATTAATAATTCCTTAATTAATTGCCAATCTTTTGTGTTAGACTCTGACTTGACTGATCACTATCCCGTTATGCTTAATGTTAGATTGAGTAACTCTAAATGCGATGGATACAAACAAGACAACGTGAAATCAGAAATCACTTCTATTGATTATGCTGCTCTATATAACTCTTTTGCAACACACAATTGGCAACTGGTTTTGAACTGCGCAAATTCTCAAGAAGCAACTAATATATTCTATGAAATCTTCCAAGAGCTGCTTCGTGGAGCAAAATCGACTAAAGTGATCGTAAATAAATAAAAAAAAATTAAACCTTGGATCACCTTTGGTATAGTAAATTCCATTGAAAAAAAAAGATAAATTAAAAAAAATATATTTGCAGTCACAAGATGAAAATTTAAAAACTCGGTATAAAAATTATAGAAATCAATTGAATAAATTATTCACTAAATGTAAATTTGACTATTTTAAAAAAAAAAAATATGAAAGTCAAAATGATTTTAAACAGATCTTTAAAATAATATGCAATGCAACAAATGAGAAAGACAAGAATAACGACAAAATTAACATCTTTGACATAAAAAATAAAGCCTTTCAAACAGACATTGACATGGCCAATTTCTGTAACAATTTTTTTATATCAATAGGAAAAAATATGGCTGAGAAAATACTACCGGCCAAGGAGCCAAAATGTACTATTAATGAACCACTTTCATCTCGCTTTTTAACACCTGTAAACAATAACGAGTTAATAAAACATATCAACTCACTTAAAAACGCCTCGGCCCCTGGTATGGACGGTAAATCAGCGAGAGTAATAAAAACTGTGCATCAACATATTTTAGAGCCATTATCTCATATTGTGAATTTAATATTTGAGACCAGTATGGTGCCTGCGGAATTTAAAATTGCTGTTGTGGCACCCATCCACAAGGCTGGCAATAAGAATCATATCAGTAACTATATACCGATAAGTATCATCAATAACTTTGGAAAAATATTTGAAAAATGTCTCAAGGAGAGATTGATGAAATTCTTGGTTGAGAATGGGATTTTATCAAAAAAACAGTTTGGCTTTGTGGGTGGAGTTAGCACCTGTGATGCTATGTATGAATTGGTGGAACAAATAACTGCAAAGCTAGATGGTGGAGAGAGGAGCATTGCTGTATTCTTGGACCTGGCTAAGGCCTTTGATACTGTGCCGCATGATATGTTGTTGAACACACTTGAGAAGTGTGGTGCAAGGGGTAGGGCATTGGAAGTTTTTGTATCTTATTTGAAAGGCAGGAGACAAATTTTAAAAATAACAAATGCTCACAGTGATCCTCTTGAAACCCTGGTTGGTGTCCCACAAGGAACCGTACTTGTTCCATTGCTGTTTATCACTTATATTAACTCTATGATAATGCTCGATATTGGGGGTTCCATCATTTCATATGCAGACGACACTGTCTTGGTTTTCTCGGACGAAGACTGGGACTCTGTTAGAGATATGGTGGTTGAGGGCCTTTCTAATGTCAGGAATTGGCTGGATTATCATAAACTTTCTTTAAATTTAGATAAAACACATTATATAGCATTCTCTTCAACTAATGTTAATCGTCCTAATTTCTC